TGAGAGCATCAATATTATAAGGCACGATTTTCTGGTTTTCTCCATCTATATTATTATTGTTGTTATTACCACCACCACCATTATTACCGATATTATTATTTAGCAATTGTCGTTGTTGTTGTTGTTGAAGCTGTTGTTGAAGCTGTTGTTGAATATGTTGTTGAAAATGTCGTTGTTGTAAATGATGATTTTGTTGGTGTTGCTGTTGTAACTGATGTATATGTTGTTGATAAAATTGTTGTTGTTGTTGTTGTTGTAAATGTGCCAAAGTATTAAATTGATGATGGTTTGGTTGTTGGTAACCATTAGGATTGATTTGACGGGTGTATAATACATCTATTAGAAAGAATAAGAAGGTGATGGTTATGATATTATGATGATAATGTGAAATAATGAATGTACGATAAATAATAATATAAATAAAAATTTACGTTGGGGTCCCTTCTTTTGCTCAATGGTCGTTGATATTATATCATTTAACGAAAGTACAATTTCAGCAACCTTATTTTAATTAAGTAAATGTTAATAATATTTTTTGGTGAAAATAATAAGAAAATAAATCAACAAGAAATTTACCTCCAAGCATCTTAAAGTTTTCATCGTTATCCCATATTCACCAATAGGAGATGATATATCACTATTCCTTGGTAGATATTCTATATGATCATCTGTATAAAATTCAAAGGCCTCTATCTTTGTATTCGAACTAAGTTTAATTCTTAATTTGCCACTAAACACAACCTATAAAAATATTAAAAAAAATATTTTGATATTAATGATGGTTATTGAAAGTAATTCCAATTTGTTTTTAAATCGCACGTACCCTTGAACCATTATTATAATTATATATCATTTGAGATTTTGCTTCTATTATGATTATAAAATTATTCTCAATGCTACTGCTTATAGGATGTTGACTTTCTTTGATATTGCTCATTGTTATCTGTATTGTATTTACGCCTGAATCAAAATTTACTTGGAAAAATCTAGCAATTATTGGCGTTGGTAAATCTATTTATTAATTTTTATCAATAATGTTATAATAAAATGAAGAAATTAATCATAATCAACTAACTAATTAATCATAAGATCTAAATAACTATTAATTAATAAAATGTTATGATTTTATTAAATGAATCCTAACCAAAAATTTTAGTTTTAAAATCTGTTGAACTTCTTAATAAATAAATAAATCGCCCTTCCTCTGAAAAGAATTCTGAAACGATTCTTTTCCAATGCGCTATATCTTTTTTAGCTGGAAACATCTTTTTATAAAACATAATAAAATGATTAGTTATAATTGGTTAGTTATATCATGAATGAATTATATATATAAATTAATAATTTATTATTTTTACCTCTGCTGCTAAATATTCAAAAAATAATAAAACTTTAAGAATGCCTTTTCCAGTAATAGGTTGCCGTCTAGAATTTTTTATAATAAATGAATTTGTAAAAGTGCATATAAGTAAAAATACTTCAAAATAAATATTTACA